GTTCTGTCTCAGGGGTAATTTTTCCACGAGTAGTTGTAAATTGGCTGTGTCCACGGGAGGAGGTGAGTTCAGAGTCTGCCTACGCCGCCATCTTGACTCCGCCCTGGTTGAATATTTTAGATTTTATTCTGTTGATATTAGAAAGCCATTTAAGATTTGAGCAGGGGAATAATATTCTTTAAGAAAATAACGCTGACCTGGATGGATTAAAGGGGCATGACATACTCATTTGTCCGTAATTTGGGGAAGAGTGGAAGATTCCCTCTAATTCATTAGATGTGCATTTGTATCTTCAGGAGCAAAATAAGCAGCATATCTTAATGCATAAATTCTCCTCCCACATACGCATTCTTTTTCATCATGGAGCAAATATTTGGCAGCCAAGTTATCTTTAAAGTAATAAGGGCAAAAACTATTTGGAATAAATGTTTCAGAACCATTTGTTACTTTGCACAGACCTATGAGCAAATAGGATTGAGCTAGAGCATTTACTATAGTATGTGGTTCTGCAGGGTCTGCCATGTTATTATATACACTTTTATCTTGGCTAAACTCTAGCTGTTGCCACCACTATTCCTCAAAGACCTGGAGTGTCAACAAGATAATCGAAATAGCAAAGTGAGAGTCAAGAGTTTTTCTGCCTGTTTCTGGAAGTCTTAGGAAGATCATTTCCTTTGTATTCCTTATATTCAGAATATATAAGCCTTCCAGACATCTAATCTTTACCAGGTCAAACATTTCAAAAGACAGTGAAATTATTTACCAGTTGCTTTTCAGTTTAAAGCAAGTGTTTTAAAGCCTCCCTCCTGAATCTATTTATAAAAAAAGAAACAAAACAAAAAACTAAGTAAATGCCATATAATCCCGACTACATTGTCCTGGTGTGAAGATCCTAACATAGCATGGTGGAAAAAGGTTCTGAATTATGACCCAAGAAATCTGAGTTCTAGCTCTAGTTTCGTGAAGTCATAGCCTGATGGTTTTTGTCAAGTGTCATGTTTAATGGGGAGGGGTTAGGATTTTTGTATATGGTCTCTGTCCAATAGGTACTGTTCACATTTTCCTAGGGAGTCTAGAAAATGAGGAGACACGTGATAAGATTGTGGTCAATGATTTTGGGTGGAAATGATGTGTGTTACTTTTGGGCGAGAACATTTAATGCCAGTGTGAGACTCCCCAGAATTCTTTCTCTCTGCAATGATGACTGACAATTTTCCAGATAGTGGTGGCTTTGTAGGTCTGGATCCAGGAATGAGGGAAGCCCCAGGGATATAGAAGATCCTTCCTTTTCTTCAGTTAAAATTTTACTGAGTTTTCTATAGATAGATGTCAAAGCAGCTTTGAAGGGAAGTTAGTTTCCTATCATTGAAAATACTGAAATATAGACTGGGCAACCTCTTGAAAGTGGTGCTGTAGAAACTGGTTGTGTGTGATAATAAGAAAGACATATTTGGTCTTCAACGTGTTTCTGGCATAGAGCTCCTAAAAGTCTTGGAATTTCCTAAGTGATGAGAGTGATAAAGGGATCTTTGGTTATTTTAATGAGGTGACTTTTGGAAAGCACCTAAGGATGGGGTTTGGTTGCCAGTAAAGCCAACCATGTTAGTAGAGGGTCGGAAATTTCAGTCCCACCCCTCAATCTCTGAGGAGGGCAGAGGGGCTGGAGGTTGAATCAATCACCAGTGGCCAATAATTTAATGTTTTAATCAATCATGAAGGAATTATGGTTAAATTTGTTGGGTGAAATAACGATATTACTGTTATGTTAAAAAAAAGTTCTTATCTGTTGGAGATAAATATTGCTGCATTTAAGAAGAAGTAATAAAAAGTCTGGGATATACTTTAAAATACAGCAACTCTCCCACCCCCCACAAAAAACACCTAAAAGAAATGAACAAAAAGCTGAAAGAGTGTGCATGTGTGTGTGTGTGTGTGTGTGTGTGTGTGTAGGGGGTGGACAGAACAAGAATGACAGAATATTGATAATTGTTGAAACTGGGTGATGGGTACATGAAGCTGCATTCCCATTATACAATTCTCTTTACTTTGTGTATGTTTGAAAATTTCTACCACAAAAAGTTTTAAAAAAAACCTCTTTGCCTCTTCTTTTCTAGGAATTCTCCAAGAGACAGAAAGATTTAATCTCATCAGCAAATCCTCACAAGGCTGCATTTGTCGTATCTTCACTCTCTCTCTCTGCCCGAGACCTTAAGACATTCTGCAGTACCCTTTCAAATTTGGAGCCACCTTAGTCCACTGGGCATTTCTAATGTTAGCAGTGACTTCTGGGAGTCTACCTCATCCCTGCACACCAACACTCCCACTGGATCATGGCCATGGTCTCCAAATGAGGTTCTCTAATTTTAGATTGGAATCAGGAGGATCCAGATGGGTTGCCACTTATAACTAGTATAAATTTCAGCCCACAAGGAGAAGTGTGCAAGAAATAGTATGACATTTTTTTATGACGTCACTTAATTTATATTTCAAGCCTTAATCCTACTGGTGTCCTGTTTGGGTTTCCACTCATCCCTGTTAGGAAATCATAGAAGGCAAAAATTTTGAGGATGGGGTGAGAACATGGCCACTGGTTATTGGAGCACACAGTTGTAGGTTAGATGTCCGTCAGCTCAGTTGCCATGCCTCCGTAAGGTTTGGTGGCTCCTGTGCCATGCAAGGGACAGGTTGCCACGATTCTGCTTGTATACCCAATATAGCCATCTCCTCTTGGAGTTTTTGCCAGATTGACCCCTCCAGCCACATTTGAGAGGCCCCTTTCCCCCCATAATGCACAGACATCTCTCTGACAGCTAGCATCTCACAACACTCTAGTAGGGTAAGAAGGGAATTTCTAATTTCAAAAATTCTGCTTCTGTAATGTTTCTGCTCAAGTATCCCCTCTTTTCTACTGAGTTTGGGATTTTAGAAATAAAAGCCAAGATTATCGCATGCTATTGTTGCATTCAGCCCTGCCACGCCCCTCCTCTGGCAATGAACAGAGTCTGCTACCCATTTGAATGCAGAAGGGAAAGGGTGATATAAAGGGAGAAAAAAAAAAAATTAAACAGGAACAGATTAACATCTCAAAATATCCTGCCACATTTGAAAGATGTGAGAGTTGAATTCATGGGAGAGGTTCAATTGGGAAAAAGGAATTGTTCTTGAAAATGCGGTCTCTGCAGTTGCAGAGGCTGTGTTGGATGTAGGTCCACAGAATGCTCTGATGTCATCGTTGAGGTCACTGCTGTGGGCCTGGCAACCTTTGAACCTTAACAGCCCTGCACTGTAGTGAGCCCTGGACAGTGCTGCTGGTTCACCAGGTGGTCTGAGTTCTTCAGCCGTTTAGAAGACTCAACTATTTTTATTTATATTGAATCATTTGAACGGATTTCCTGAAAGCCAACCTGTGGGAAAGGGAGAAGCTGGACATTAGGCATCTTCTAAGGGACTCTTCAAACGGCTACTATGAAACGGCGACAAAAGAGGAAACATCTGGAAAATGAAGAGTCCCAGGAAACTGCTGAGAAGGGAGGAGGTATGTGCTGGGGAGTTTGGAGCCCTGGGGTTGCTGGCCAGCCTGGGCCTTCTCTAGGAACTTGAGGAAGGTGGGACTGAGGAGGTGTCACCTATGCAGTAGGGAGGGAGAGACCTGGTATCGGCTGATGCTGCCATGTCCATCCTGAGGGCACTCGTGGTATGAGACAGCAGAGAAAGTCCAAATGCCCCTGAGATGGAAGGTCAGGGCTGCCGGTCTGAGGACTTCTCTCCTGGGGCTACCTGTGCCTGGAGTTATGTCGAACTCGTAGCAGGCTGGGGCCTGGCTTGCACAGACTCAGAGGGGCAGCTTCAGTCCCTGCATTCTCTCCTATTTATTTGATCTTTCCCTGGGGTCACTGGGTGGAGGGTGTGAAGGCAGTTGATAGAGGTCCATAAGTAGCAATGTCCCTTTCACCAAAGAGGAAAGAGAAGCCCAATGAGTTAAAGGCCTTGTTGAAAAATATCTTGCGAAGTGAAATGCCTGTTAGAAAGGAGATGAAGAATTTGTCTAGGGATGGTGTCATATGAAAAGCATGGAGATTTGATTCCTTTAGCAGGAAGAATTTTCCAGTTGATCCATGGGAGTTTGTGAATCCACAGGGGTGGGGTTCCTGGAGGAGATCAGGGAAGGGAAAGGCCTTCCAGAGACTGAGACCACATGGATGGGAGTGAGAAGTGTTGTCAGGGCCCTGCAGGGAGCTCTGCGAGAGTGGATTTACTCCCAGGCCACGTGGTGACTGCATGCATTACATGTAAACCAGCAGCTTGCCCTGAGAAAGGGGGTGGTCACAGGTAGGAGGCGGGCAGAATGGAGGCCGCCCCAGAGATCTTGCTGGAGACTTCTGCCCCAAATTAGAGCCCAGCAGCTTCCATGAGGCCTAGGGCCCTGAAAACTGTAGGATAAGCCCTGGGATGGAGGCTGGACTGTAGGCAGATTCTTAGGCAGCAGCTGGGGCGGGATGGTAAGGCAATGATTACTCCTGCCCCTTACACTTCAGAATATTTTCATCTCTATGTGTGTGTGGTGTTGGGGGAGCAGTGGGGAGAAGGGGGTAGAGTGCTCATCAGATAGGAAGTCTGAGTGGTAAAGTTCCTGTCACCATGCCTGAACCCGGGTGACACTCAAAACGTGTACATGTGTAAAGAGAATTCTTGTTAAGGGTCTTCCGTGAGACAGTCACTCATGCACTCACACAGACTCTGATCAGAAAAAAGCTGCACATCTCCACACACAACTTCTTTACTAAACCACACACAGAGCATACAGGTTTATACGCACATCACTCCTATACTATGTTCACATACAATCCATGTGTATTGCTGTCCTCTCCTCCCACACCAAACTCTGGAGTTTATATATATATGCACAATATACATATATATATATCTCCTCAACTCTCAGCTCAACAAACACGGCTACCTTCAACTATCTTTAACTACCTCTCTAAGAACCAGTCACATGTCGTATATGCCACACTCGTAACACATTGTGTGGTAATAGAAGACCCACTTCTCACAAACCACAATAAAATAGGTTCACCAACTCTTATCAGAGTTGCCAGATAAAATATAGGATGTCCAATTAAATTTGAATTTCAGATAAACAATGAATAATTTTTTAGTATGAGTATGTCCCAAATATTATATGGGACATACTTACACTAAAGATAAGCATGATCAAAATATTGCATGGGAATACTTATGCTAAAAAATTATTCATGGTTTATCTGAAATTTAAATTTAACCAAGTGTCCTGTATTTTGGTTTGCTAAATCTGGCAACCCTTATATACTTACCACCAGCTGACATATTATATACTTATTGTATTTCTGTTTAGTGTCCATTTTCCTCTACTAGAATATTCAGCATTTCCAGAGTCTACAATAATGGAATAGTGCCTGGTACATAGTAGCTGCTCACTGAATATTGTCGAATGAATGAATGAATGAATGAATACATACCGTAAATACAAGCCACACCGTATAATCAGGAAAATTACATGTCCTGTAATTTCTGAGTTGTGAACACAAACCATGCACACAAACATTCCACAGACACAGATACACACATTTCTTGCGTACTCACCACACCAACCCCATACTTATCCAAGATTTAGCTGATACACATCAGTCTCACAGACATATTCACAGTCACCACACAGGCCTACATTCCTAACAAGACACTAAAATTATAATTGTTGATTTTAATTAAATACTGGAGTATCCACCAGGAACCAGACTCTAAACCACATGTATTCACTGCACCTGACATATATCAGACACTCAGTAAATATTTGTTGGACAGATGAATGATGGACAAACATGCCCAACCCACTATGTCTCTGAGGCTTTCATACCTTCCTCAGGCATCTCGAAGTCACAAGAGGATGACCCTCAGCTTGGATCCACTGGGGTGGCCAAAGGCTTGGTCCTAGGGGTAGGGGAGGTCTCCTCTGCCTCCGAATACTTCTCCTGTGTTTCTTCTCCACGCAAGCTCATTCATGGTGGTAAGGGAGCAGGCTCTTTGGTTACGGGACTGCTTGGGTGTGGGGCAGGAAGCACATAGATCCAAGTGAGGCTGAGAGGAAACCCAGGGTAATCAGAGGTGACCAGGGGTCTGGGAGGAGCTCGGGCAGGATGGCAGAAGCTGTTAGGAGAGTGTGGATTTGAGCTCAGTGTAGGAGAGTGTGAGCCCTGGTGGAACCACGGTGGGGAAGTTAAGGAGCAGGGGCCAGAGAGGTCTGAGCTTGAGGTGCAGGGCAGAGGTGCTTCAGAGGAGCATGTAAGCTTTGCCTTTGCCTTTGCTTCCGGAGAATGACAGAGTTCCTCAGCACAGCACTCCAGCATGGGAGTGGGACCATCCAGCTCAGGCTCACACATCTCACACAACCACTCTCTGCGCATATCCATTCTCAGACACACACAAAACCCAAACACATGACCCACAATGCCATTCTCCTACACCACAGCCCCCATTCCACAAATACCATGCCAATGATATCACAAACTCACATCGTTCTCATAGCACACACACCCCACCAGCATCCCGCATACCACAGCCCTCACCACCACACTCCACACCGCTATATACAGACACCCCTCGGTATCGCTACACACCCAAATGAAAAGCCCACAGATGACACTACCCCATAATATGAACACCACCACCAAGCTCATCGCACAACTACATCACACCACAGTCCCACTCTCCTATACCAGACATATTCTCACTTGTTCCCTCAGTTTCTGGCATGCCCCACGCACGTTCTTACGTCTCTAATTTCCTTTCCCAGGAATCCAGAGATTACATCGAGACAGTCCCCAGCCTACTTCACCCCTAGTCCAGGTTCAGGAACGAGGGGAGACTGCTCCCCCCTCACCACATGTCTCCTTCTCGTCCCCTTCATCCTATAAGACCTGTGTGTCCTCTCTGTGTATAAACAAAGAGGAAAGGGGCATGAAAATATACTACATGCAGGTACAAATGAAAAAGGGTGTGGCTGTCTCCTGGGAGACAGAGGAAACTTCAGAGTCACTAGAAAAGCAGCCGAGGATGGAAGAAGTGACCCTTCCTGAGGACGTGCGGGTAGGTACTCCCCCCTCTGATATTTCCACCAGAAACCTCCTGTCTGACAGCGACCCCAGTGGGGAGGAGAAAGAGCATGAAGAAAGGGCAGAGTCAAACAACCCACCAGTGTCGCCCGCAGTCGAGGAGAGACCCAGGGCCAAGACGCCTGACTGGCTGGTGACCATGGAGAGGGGCTTCAGGTGCATGGCCTGCTGCCGGGTCTTCTCCACCTTGGAGATCCTCCAGGAGCACGTGAAGTTTGGGATCAGGGAGGGCTTCAGCTGCCACGTCTTTCATCTCACCATGGCTCAGCTGACAGGCATTGTGGAATCAGAGAGCGCCCAGGAGAAGAAGGAGGAAGAGAATGAGAAAGAGAAAGAGAAGCAAGAAGAAAAGGAGAATGAGGAGGAGCAGCCCGCAGGGGAAGACCTTGGCATGAGGAGACCCCGGAGCCAACGTCCAGGCTGTGTGTTTCATTCTCCAAAGGACAGGAAGTGAGCAGGGGCTGGGTCTGCTGAGGGAGCCGTGCCTTCCCCAAGCCAGGACTGTCTCTCCAATCCAGGCTTATGCCTCCATAATGGAGAGTTGGGGGCTTCATCAGCTCAGGGAACAACTGAAGGGGGGATAAATGGGCCCGTTGCTTCTTGCCCAGGCTTTCAATAAAGTCATGATTGTAAGTGGAAATTTATCTTGAGCTTTTCAGCTCCCGCAGGAAGTTCTGAAAATTTCCAAGGGCTAACAGAGCGCCTTTCCTCTTTAACTAAGAAGTGTCTTCCTCTGTTTTGGTTTCCACACAGCAACTGAGATTCATGGGCCAGAAGATCCTGGAAGATGGTGTGGCCTTTTCTTGGGAGAGGTAAGGCCTGAGGTTGGCATAGTCTTCTGAGCCTATGTCACGAGGTCCCAGAGGAATCTAAGAGAAGGGTCTGCAAGGCTGCACTGTATTACCTGGTGGCTCTGCAGCTGCATCAACTTGTGGCATACCCAACGCTTTGGGGGAATTGACCTCTGTTTACTTAAGCTAGAAAGTGGAGAGTTTTGACTGGGAGTTTTCTCAGTGTCTCTATGATTGAACTCAACTTTAAGAGGAAATACTGCCTGCAGCCCTTCTAGGCAGATGTGAGAGCTCAGCACAACCTCAAGGGCCAGGAGTGGTCTGAGGTGAGGACAAGGGGCCTAGCAGGGCCAGAGGTTTGAGGCCTGAGAGCCTTCAGCCTGAGCTTGGATCTCACCCTGACGCACGGACATAGCCTTTTGGGAGAAAGGGGAATGTGTAGAAGGAGAAATACGGAAATGATGTCCCAGGAGATCTAGAAATGTTCCAGAAACTTCAGCTGTCTGTAGTTATCTCGAAACAAACTCGCTGTGGGGTGAGAGGCTCTGAGCTTTAAGACAAAGGTGAAGGGTAACTCTGACTAGCAGAGCTCACATCGCTTCTTGTCTCTTCTTGTTCTGCCTCATTTGTTTTATCGCTCCCAGGGAGAAGAAAACTGTGGGGATAGAAGCAGACAGAATGCCAATGGTATGAAGCAGGATGAAGAGACCAGCTCTCTGTCTAACATCATATGACAATATAAACTTCATATGCAATAAAGGATGTTTTCCAAACCTTTCCTGGATATATTCTTTAATTAAATTTATTTCTCTCTCTCTCCCTCTCTCTATCTCTATCATCTACATCTGTCTCTCTGTGGTTTGTGGTTTGTGAACAAAGTTTCACATAAGCACCAAAGACATCCATCAGCCTTTTCCAGAAGCAGCCGTACTCAAGCTGCTGGGATTGATTAGGCTTCTGTGAGACTATTTTCCCAAGGCTGGATTCCGCATTTCACATGAGACCATGACAGACTACACTGAGTTCAGATGAAGAGATTGGGAAGTAGCAAGTGCTGTGGAAACCATGGCCAATGGGTCATGATGGAAAGCACTGTAAAGGGAGACTTCAGAGGGCCGGAGGGTGGTCTCCATGTCTCCCAAGGTCTGGCCTGGAAGAGGGACTGTTAGTTGTGGCTTCACAAGGAAACACCAGGACAGAGGAAAAATTTCTCAGTCTCAAAGCTGTCCGTAGAACAGGTTCCTTCTGAGATGGTCAGACCATCTTACAGCGCTCAAAAAGAGGCCAAATGACCACACTCAGGAATTTGGGGAAGAGATCACTGTATTAGGAGTTTGTGCCAATGAGCTCTGATATTTCCAGTTCTGACATTAATATTTCAATTTCTAAATAAACTCTTATTCTAGCCTCTCAAGCTTTTGACCTCGTCACCTCTGAATTTCATCCTCACACCACTGCTACCACCCACTGGAACTAACGACATTTAGGAGGCACTGAAGACTCATTTTGATGAATGAGGTTGTCCATGGCCTTAAAGGTGAGGGAGTAATAATGTGTCCCCTTAATCTGAGTAGGGGGCCAAAGCCAGGCCATAGAAAGACTGATGGAATTAGAAGGAAAAAAATCCCTCAGAGATTTTTGTCAGTTTAAAACAGAATAAGGTCTAATTCCAAAGTCCCATGGATTTTTTTCAAGAAGGAGTCTTCGACGGGGCTTTATTGAATCAACTGTTGTTCCAGTGATCTGGTGTTGTCATTATTATTTCAATAATAATATAAACCAGCTTCCTAACTGGTTTCATGCTGCCTAGCCTCTCCATCTGGGGTAGCATCTGCATATCTACATCCCTTGCTGGAGGATGGCTAGGGCTTCCATTAACTGTCATTCCAAAGAATTCAGAATTTGAGTCTTATCCTACCCATCCATACTCACCACCATCTGGGGGATTCCACTCACTCTCTGACAACATCTGCATGCTCGGTAATCTTCACCTTTGCTCCCCTTCATCTGCTATTAAGCCCACCAGGAATTATCCCTTTCCCCCTCTTTTCCTGCATCTACATCATTTCCTTTCCTTTCCTTGGAATGTTTTTTGACTTCTCTCTTCCATTGACTGCTTCAAACACCTAGGGTTTCTTCCACACAAATTAGTAGGATATTGGTTATAAAATGAGTGTTCTCTCTGCTGTTCCTACTGGGATAGAGACTTCCCTGTAAAGCATGGAGGGGGTAACATGAGGGCCTGTAGGCAGGATTCAAAGTATTGTGGGAATAATCTGTCTGGATTATTAACATTTTAAACTCTTCACTTCAGTTTTCCCTCAAAATGTGGAATTTTGTTGTGGCTATTTCTCCATTTAAGGATGGGTAACTGCATGATTGATTTCTTTGTTTTTTTTTCCTTCTCTTTCCAAGGTACTAAATTTGATTGTGTCTTATGAATTAGTGAAAAATGCTGGTCTTTGAGTCAGGACATTGGGCCCTTGACCAAGTAAGATAACCTGTCTGGGCTTCAGCTTCTTGAGGTATAATCAAGAGGCTTGGAATAGCTGACCTTTAAAATGCTGTGTTCCTGTGATTCACTCTTGCTTATTGATCTGCTGCTTGAGAAGAGGGTCTTTTCTCATGAAATAAGAGCTCCATATAGTTAATATGCGGGTTTTTTTTAACCTTGGATTGGGCAGAATTTAACTGGTCACACTCAGTTTGTTAGTTATATTCACTTTTACATATGCTTAGCCTCTAAATACTTCATATAGCTCTTGTTACCATTTTAAATAATATTTTTTTTTCTTATTTTCTCTTATATTTTCTAATTTGTTATTTCTAGTGTAGAGGAACTTGATTGATTTTTCTTTTTTTGCGAGGAAGATCAGCCCTGAGCTAACATCCTTGTTAATCCTCCTCTTTTTGCTGAGGAAGACCGCCTCCGAGCTAACATCTGTTGCCAATCCTCCTCCTTTTTTTCCCCCAAAGCCCCAGTAGATAGTTGTACGTCATAGTTGCACGTTCTTCTAGTTGCTGTATGTGGGATGCGGCCTCAGCATGGCCGGAGAAGCGGTGCGTCGGTGCGTGCCCGGGATTCGAACCCGGGCCGCCAGTAGTGGAGCACGTGCACTTAACCGCTAAGCCACGGGGCCGGCCCCTGATTGATTTTTTAAAATTTGTTGATCGTGTCTCCATATACCTTGTTGAGAGATCTTATTAGTTCTACTAGTTTATCTGTGGATTCTTTTGGGTTTTCTAGATAAATGATGATACTAAAAGTAAATAATGTGTTCTACGGATAACTTTAGTTTATTATAACATATTTCGTAGATACTTTTTAAACACATAATAACATTTTAACATTTTCTATACCTTTTTTTTAGATTCCCCCTCCCAGAGGTAACCAACATCAAAGATTTGCATGTATCCAGTCCATATTCTAATTATTTTCATATATAATATATATCCATAAGCAAGGTGTAGAATTGATTTAAATATTTATGTAACTGTTGCCATGATATAACGTCCTGAATCTTATTTTTTTCAATGAATATTATGTTTTCAAGATTCATCCATGTCAATTCATATAGATCTAGGTCTTTTGTTTTTAACTCTCTGATATTATTCCATCATATACATATAGCACCATTTGTTTTCTATTTAAGCATTATTGGACAATTGGATTGTTTCCATCCCTTCTCTAGAACAAACAGTATTTCCTAGAACATCTCTGAAGACTTCCCCTGGCAGTCAAGAAGGGCCAGCCTGTCTGAAGTCTTGCTGCTTGCCACCTTCCAACCTTCCAACAGGCTACTTCCAGGCAGCAATTTGAAGCACAGATTAAATGAAAACTCCCTCAAATGGGAATATCTAAGGAGCTTCCCAGAAGGTAGGAGGTTAATGCTAGGCATCCTGTTGGGACCCCAGTCTGGGCTGGCCTGAGCCTTCCCATTCTCTGCCTTGGCCACCCCAAGAGAAATGTGGAGTAAAGGAGAATCCAAAAACTGAGTAGACACAGGGAGAGATGTTGGGGGCCGATGCTGTTATTGAGGCTTCTGAGTGAACTGTGAGGGTGCAGAGCATCCAGACAGTCATGGTCTACCTTTTGAGAACATCTCTCTTAAGGATGTTTGTAATTAAGGTGATGCCAGGCACACACAGCGTCTTGGGCCACATTGTCACAGAAAGCTGCTGCTTTATCAGTATCTCTTCTTGTTCACACACTCTTGTTAACCATTATTTGGTTACTGCCTTTGGTACTCCACTGATGTGAACCACAGTAGCTAGGGGACACAAATGACCCATCTTGCTATGTAGTGTTGGTCTACAGCTTGAGGGTGAGGGAAGAGGCCAAACTAAGCTCGAGGAAGAAAGATGGTGTTTGAAGAGAAGATCTGAGTTGAGCATGTTTTCTCAAGACTTGAAGAATGACATTTAGCTCCAGTGTCTCATGGATTTCCTGAAGTCCTGCTTGTTTTCAAAGCTGGCCATGGGGCTGGGTTCACTCAATAAAGGAACCACGTACCCCCATTATTTCATTGCTTGCTCACACTTGTCCACCTCTGGTAGACATTCTGCAGGACTGATCTTCCCGTGAAACAACTTTCTACCTATTACTGTCATCTCATGAGCGTTTACTGCCCCTCCCCAATGTCCCCCTAAAATGCCAGTGCAGTGAATTTATAATTTGATAATCATGCTTCTCACTGTATTCTCAGCAACTTCTGATAAATTTTATCCACTTTATGCCTGTCTGCACACATCCATAATCCTTAATTTTGTAGCTGCAGGTTAACCCATTAGGAATCTTTTCTTTCTCTCTTCTTTGGCAAATCCTTTCTATCTTTTAAGGTTCTTTTCTTGTCTCTCTACCATCCTGATTCTTTTTTTTTTCCCATTTCAATAAACTTTCAACCTCCTTCCCTAATTCCCTCACAAGCATTATTCCTCACAAATTAGAAAATATTTGATTGTTGAAAAGTGATAACCTCACTGGTGTTCTTGCAATTATGGAAGCTTCTCTGCCTTCCAACT